GTGAGGGTTCCATGGGATTTTCCATTTGTCAAAATTGTCCAGTTAAAATTTGTGCATTTTGACATACATAAATTTTACTTTATAAAAATCAAATACAAGGCAGGAAGTAGATAAGAGGGAAAGATGAAAAAGAATGGCACATGTTGATATGTGAAGCTAAGTGATGGGGCTATAAGAGTTCACCATCCTTTTCTGTTCACTTTGCTTATAGTTGAAATCTTCCATAATAAAAAGTTAAAATAAGACCAACAGATAGAACGAGAACAAGTCTTAAGCAAACTAGTCTTGAGCTTAACTCCTAGGGATATAAGCAACACCCTTACAGGGAGAGGGTAAGGCAGGATAAGGAACATGTAAGCCAGAGAGAACAGGCAGCATGCTCCCGGCAGTGCCCGCCATGCACAGGTGATACAGGAGGGCCTACAATGCCCTAACAGCCCAAATCCGCCATGTCTGCGCCACACAAGGCCACGAAGCTATCTGCATGCCCAAGGCACAGACCTGGCCTTCTGGGCAGAGTGCAACACACATACTCTAACCCCATGATGATGTAGACAACATATAAAGAAAAACACTTTTACACTAGAAATTAAAACATATACTACAAAATTACTTTTTTGGGACAATTACTATTTTCTTAATACTTTTGATTCTTAGTTTCTCAATTTTAAGGGACTAGAAATAAAAGGGAAAATTATAAAGAAAAAAATTCAGTATTTTTTGAAAGACGAACTACATCAAATCCTTGCTTGATGAACCAGTTGATAAGGTCCCAATATTTGTATAGATGTCACACTGTGTCTGCCTACTTCAGGGTAAAGGGACTAGGACCTAGCTGCAGGAAGAAAATGTTAGTGTCAACCGGTGACAAAGAAAGGGACACAGCTCCTAGAGGGAAATAAAGAAAATAAAACATTTTTCCTGGTTGAACATCCTCTTACCTTCGTCCCTGATCCAATCGGCCATGAGGGCCCCGAGCAGGAAACCTGTTCAGGTGGCTCAGATGAAGTGTGTGGGACGTTTGGAAGAGACTCAGAGCTGCAGAGAGGAAATGGCTGGTGACTCCAAACCCTAAGTATCTGCCCAGCTCCCCCGTCCGTTTTTCCAGTGCACAGAAGTACCCACTTCTATTCATAGAGGCGCAACCTCACAGTTATAAGTCCGTCCGTCCAGAGCATCCCATAAAGCCACACCCCAACATCCATGCTACTGGTACTCACGCTTCTGAGGAAAGAGTGGGGGAATCCGGTGAGGCTGGAAGATCAGCTGGGGCTGAGCTCCCAAAATCCCTTGCTTCTGGCCCAGGGCCGCCACATGTAGCAGGGGAGGTGCTGGGGACTTCAGCAGGGGCTGCAGGACCATAACCGGGAAATTCAGGGCATCCCATAGTTGATGTGCTTACTACCTTGGACAGATGCAATCCCACACCCTCGACAAAAGTAAGGTTCTTGCCCAGCTTTCAAGACATGGGTTTCCCTCCCTCCCCTTCCAATGCACATTCCAAGGAGAGATGAATACCTGGTTGGAGAGTGTTTGCACCTTGACAGCATTCCAAGGCACTGCCTGGCCGGGGTTGTATGCAGCCTTCACCAGCACCTTCTCACCTAGCTGGGGCAGCCGGCCCTTCACCACACTGCCAGCACACAAGCCAGGAGGCCCAGTCAGGACAGAGACCCTGGCCAAGCCACCCTGACTGCCCTGAGGCCCTTCCAACATCAAGATTTCTCATACCTCACATTAAACACAGCAAAGCAATGGCTTCAGTGGGGCGCCACAAGCATGGTGACAAAACTGAATCCAAAGAGACACTGGCCTCAAACCTACCTGAGCTGAAAAAAGACCTCTTCATCTACCACACCGAAGTAGTCATGCAAGCTGGTGACGATGCCAGTGAAGACCCGCTGCTTCTCCCCGCCCTACAAGAGAAGAGTGCAGTGTGAAACAGGGAATCTGCCTAAGTTCTGCCACTGGAATCTCATCTCTGTGCACCCCCTCCGCTCAACCAGAGCATTCATTGCACATGGGAGTCACATGGGAGGAAGCGTACATGCATAACGGACGTAATCTATCTGCACGGGGCGGGGGATCGTGCTGGTTCTTGCACCCCAAGCTTCTCTAGGATTTCCAGTTCTTTTATTCCAAGAAGCACCCTACAGATTTCCCTACAGCCAGAGCTTAGGACTCCCCAGTCAGATGTATCTAGTCACCTCTCTACTGGCCCAAAACAGGAGTATCAGGAAGGATGAACACTGTGATGTAAGAATGAAAGCAGCAGGCGTCCACGCATGCTGGGGTAGTCCCAACGGCTGAAGCTCACTAGGAAATCCCCAACCTACCTGAAGGTGCCTGGCATTTTGGGACAGGTCTGTGGCCACAGGAGGAGTGAGCAAACCAGGAGGGGGACCCAGAAGAGATGTTGAAGCTGCGCCTATGGGGACAGAGAAGCAATCTCCAGGAACTGCACCTACCCTCTCAAACGCTGGAGTCAACTAGAGGATATGGCAAACCCGAACGGCAAAGTGGCTCCAAACAACTCCTCCACCAGGGAGGGAAACCCCCAAAGCCACATTTTAAAAGACTGACTCCAAAGCACATACTTCCCAGTATGAGCCCTGGTAGGCATAAATGCGATCACCTGAGAAGTTGCGTCCCCCTGGAAGTGGGTTGATACGCTGGCGCTTAAACTGGGACATTGGAAATGTTGTCCTCTTTCAGAGTCTTGGGGGGAAAACCTTCGATCAGAAAAGAAATAAGTTAACAGCTCATAGGGGAATTTTCCATCAATCCCAAAAAAGGAACTAAGGATCTTCAGGAAATGGGGAAAAGGACACTGAGAGTGAATGGAGGCGATGAAGGGAATATAGAGTACCAGAAAATGAAGAAATTACACTTCCAATTTGCCCTCGCAATAACCTAGTGACAGGTGATACTATCATGCTATTGTAAAGAAAAGTAAACTGAAGCTCAGAGAGATTAAGGAAGAGACTTGCCTGAGACCCTATTACCAGCTAGTGACAAACCTGGGACTCACACCCAAGTGTCCAGACAACTTAGCGCTCCTCTCACTATGCCATGCCACCCCCAGATGGTTGGGGGGTTGGAGAAAGAGCCCCGGAGACATTCATTCATTCAAATACATGAGCCAAAATGTCCACGCAAGGCCCGGAAAAATGCAGGAGGGTGCTGCCCGAGAGGAGATCATTTGGGCCCTCTCCCCGGAAGTTTGTCCCGCTGTCCCCCGGCCGATCTGCTGGAAAGGTAGCCGTGTGGCCCGGCATACAGTGAATCCGGCTGCGCGCCCGCTCTCCCGCTCCCGCGCTCCCCGACCTTTCTCACCGGTCTCAGCGGCCGCTGGCGCCGAATCTCCCAGGCCTGGCCGCAGCCAGGCCACCGAGGGAGGACAGAGGCGCGCGGTTTCTCCTCCTCCCGCCCGCCCCCAGGGCCGAGGCCGTTGCCAGGGAGACGGGACTTGCAGTCCGAGGGGGCTCGGCTCCTTCCGCGCCCCAAGCATCTCTGCTGCCCGGCCCTTGCAGCTCCTCAGTCGGGGGAGGAGCAAAGGGGCAGAGGGCGGCGGGGGAGCCCATCAACCTACCTGCGGGCCAGGGCCGCGACACCGGGGGGACAAAGACACCCGGAACCACCACAGTCGCTGCTGCCGCCGCCACCGGAAACGCCTCTCCGGAAGCGCGACCACTGGTCGGAAGCTGCCACTATCCCGGATATGGTCCCTCCCTCCGCTCCACCGACCTCTCCCTTCCCCCACTCCGGTCTGCCATCCGGCTCCTATCGGGGAGCGGAAGTGCGCCTTCCCCGATCATATGCGCGCTAGGAAGCTGCGCCTTGGTGGTGTCTTCACTTAAGTGTCCCATTAGAAAAATAGGCTTCAGAGACTTGGTTCCTTGTCCAAAGACAGATGGAAATGTACCCCAAACATAAGGAAGCACTTACCACCCCCACCTTGCCTCGTTCTGGCAGACTCCATGACTGCAGCCACAAGAAAACCAAACCCTCCTGACCAAGGAAGAGGATGCCTGCTCAGTGGCCATTTCTAGGAGACATTCCGATGTCGGACTCAAGCCAATAGCCCCATCCCCAGCCCTGCCCTTCCATTGACAGCAACACACACACACACACACCCTCCCGTCCTCTGGGTACCCTTTTCTCAATTAACAAAGAGGAGCCAGGAATCTGACAGGCTATAGTAAAATAAACCACCACGATATTTAAGTATACATTTGCTAAGCGTTCTCACAGACTTTTCCTTTAGTCCTCACAACAATGCTGGGGGTAAGCAGGTCAGGAATTACTGCTCTAATTTTCAGATATGAAACTGAGAGACCTCAATGAAATGACTTGCTCAAAATCTTGCAGTTAATCACTGGCCACTTTAGTCCCCTTTAGCAATCCCAGTCCCCCCTCATCCTCTGACCGTCCCATTATCCTTCCAGTTTAGCCTCACTCCAACACCCCTACCCTCCCCTTTCCTATTCCTTTAACATTCGCAAAGCACTTCGAGACAGTTTAATCTCATTCTATCCTCATAACAAGCCTGTGAGGTAGGTAGGGCAGGCACCATTATACCATTTGGGAGATTAAGTGGGAAGCTATGGCTCCGACAAGTTAAGGGATTTTGTCGATGTCTAAAAGCTAGTTTGGGCCTCTAGTTTCAGCTCTGATGTGCAAAGGCTAGCAGCCACCAAAGCAGCTAAGAATAGACCTTGAAGGTTACTCCACTGTTCCCCATGTTTTCCCTAACTCTACCATTCCTGGTGCAGTTTTGGGGGGCAAGGCTCAATGTAGAAGCAGCCAAGACAGTGCCCTTTCTCTATCCTGGGGCTGCCCATTCAGGTATGAGGAGGCAAGCAGGACTCCAGATCAGTAACTGTCCACTGAGGAATGAAGGTCAAGTCCATCCTTTTGTAATTACCTCACCCAGAAGACCAACCTTTTTTGAGTGTATCATTCAGGCGAGATGGTTGGATTCAGCCAGTTCACAACAGTGACAGTCTCACAGAGATATATACGACTTTATCATTTTGCATATATACACACATCTGCAACACTCTGGGCCCCAACAGATTACTATGCCAAACATGCTCCATGGATGCCTGATAAATAAGCTACTTCACATTGTCTAAGCCCAGGGATTTCTGGCGGCCAGGGAAGTGCCTGGGAGCTGCCGCACCGTGGGGCTTCTCAGGGAACCAGGGCTCCTCTGCCACGCTGCTCCAGGAGGAGAAAGATTCAGCCCTTGCCTCAGAGAGAAGGGCAATTGTCAGCAGCTTTTCCTGGCAGTGCCCAGAAAGAGCAACAGAGCAAAGGGCAAGGAAGAAGACTTCACTCCACACCCCTCTACCCAGGGTCATGTCCCTGCACCAGGAGGTCTCAGCAGACGGAAAGGTTTTTTGCTCGTTGCTTCTTCACCACTAATGATGGCATAAAGGTCTTCCGGCGGGGGCGACATGGAGATCTTTCAGGGACGTCCCTTGACTCAGTCCTGTGAAAAAAGAAGGGTGGCCTTAGGCTAGAAGGAAACAAAGGTAACAATGGTCCCAGAGTGGGTCAGGCATTGCTTATCTGCCGTGGGGAGCCAGGGAACAGTAATTCACATGGCGTTTCTTCCCCCTGGTGAATTATTCAGTATAACCTCCCCCCCACCCCCCCATCATCCACTGTGGAATCTTTCATCTGTGCCTCTACCTTGCTTGCCCAGCAAACCTTGGAAGGTGGCCTGAGTTTCAGCTTTGAGGGGTGAGGGTTTGCTCAGCTGGCATAAGGAGATTTCCCATATTCTGGTCCTGGTTCTGCTGCTGACTCACGTGTGACCTCAGGAATGTGGCTTCCCTCCCCAGCCCAGTCCCCAGCCTCATCTGAAATGGGGAGCTTTAACTACTTTGTTTCTTCCAGCACCCTCCCCAAGACTGTCTGCCTCACTCAGATTTCATAGGGACAAAGAACAACTGGCGGCATAATCTCAGCATCCTGGTCCATTGGGCTCCTCCCTCTGTCCTAACTTAGGCTAGGCCACAGGACTTACCTCGGGGCAGGGCCATCAGGAGGGACAGGGGGCTCAGGGTGTCGCGCGCTCTTCCAGCGGATCCGGTTGAGCAGGACCTTGACCTTGTTCCAGTGGGAGAGCTCCTGCTGAGCAGAGTGTGAGGCGGTCACCACAGAGCCCCACCCCACAATAAACGCCTGACCAAACTCCCAGAGACAGCTGTCACCAAAGCCGAGAGAAGTCACCTGCTGCAAACAGGAACCCTCTCATTTTCCCAGTCTCTGGCCTTCAGGGTATCCACACATGCCAACCACGTCCCACCCCCACCACATCCTTTCACCTGCCCCACACAGATCCATCGCCTACCTTGTGACCCTGGGAGGACTGAAAGTCGTGAGCGGGCTCTGCTGGGACCTCTGACAGCCTGGAAGGGTTGGCACTGGGCACCCCTACTTTGGGGAGTGAAGCTCTTCTTCTCCCTTCAGAGAGAATCAGGTTACCCAGGGCCAGGAACGGGAACACACCCACCAGGCCCCATGGCTCAGGGGGTCTGCCTGTGGGGCCCCGGGCAGGCAGGACACAGGAGACACAGCCGCCCCTCACCTGTCTCCGCTGTCTGGCTGAGCAGCTCCCATGACCCATGCACCTCACTGCCTGGGGCATGAGAGGGTGGAGGCAAAGGGGCCGGGGCCTCCTCCTCCTCCACAGGATCCTGAGCACAAAAGAGAAGGGTACTCAGTGCCTGACTGCAGGCCTAGACCATTCTGAAGGAAGCCATGGTGCGAGGGGACTCGCCCCTCCTCGGTCTTCCCCGCTCACCTGCCCATCCGCTGGCCTGGCCACCCCACAGCTCACAACCCCAGGGGGCTTCTGGGTCTGTAGCTGCAAGTGGAGCTGCTGGAGCTTTGCCATCTGCTCGAGCACAAGGCACAGGTGTTCCAGGTAGCGAAGACCCTGCCCTGGGAGGCAGGCCCAGGCTTCAGGCCCCAAGCCCCCCATCTGTGGGACAGAGTGAGGTAGGGGGAACTTGAGCTCAACCGGACTCCCACCCTAGGTGACCAGCAGGTGGGAGCAGATGGGCAAGGAGAGGAGGACCACGAACCCAGCTGGCCTCCCAATGCCCAGCCAGCCATGGTGCCAGGCAGACCCCGTATCTGCCCACCTCCACACGGCTGGGAGTGGGGTGAGGCAAGAAGCTGTGACACAACCCATCAATTAGGGACAGCAATGCCCCACCCTGAGAGAGCTCCAGGGAGAACAAGTGGGGGAGGGGGGCCCTCTAGCCCCCGTGTGAAAGGGCCATCTCTATTCCGCTCTTCACCCAGCCTGAGAGTTGGCACTCACCACCGCTGCTTCCTCCACCTCTGCCTTGGTGGCCTTCTGATCCCCTGCTCCAAAAAGGGGCAGTTCACACTCAGGCTTGCTTGGCAGCTTTTGGGAGTGGTGGTGTTGTGACAAGCCGGCAGGGGAAGTCGGGAACTGGCGGGACCTCTCCAGCACCTGCTCCAGCTTACGGCTGGCCAGGAACCTGCTTAAGTGGGCGGGGGGCTCCATGGGCGGCAGGGCCAGGGGCTGAGGGCTCACCACAGCCTCAAAGTCCAGAGAGTCCGGAGAAAGGCCCAGCGAGGTGGCCAGGAGGCTGTCCCCAGCCACCATCTCCACTCCTGAATCCTGGGATGCCAGTTTGAGAAGTGGCACCTGCCTCCGGAGACCTCTCTGCTCACCATGCCCCTTCCAGGAGTCCAGTGAGCACCCCTGAGCGGTGTCCGGGATCCGTCTGTAGATGCTGGTGACTCCAGGCACTACACAACCGAGTGCCAGTTCCTCACCAGCCCCATCTACAAGGAGACTCAGTATCAGGCTGGGCAGGCTGCCCCCACCGCCCCCAGCATTCCTGGCAGCTGAAAGCATTCCCTGGGGAGGAGTGTCCTGGGCCAGAGGTGAAGGGAGGAGCCTGGACAGCCACAGCCCCTCCCAGATCTCTCTCCAGCTCAGCCTGAGAGATGGTGGATGGGGTTCTTTTTACAACAGTAATTGTTAGCGATCACAACCCATCTAGGCTGTGTGGTAGGCAAAGCCTCGTAGGGCTCATTCATCAGCTCCTGCAATGGCCTATCTTCCTCCAAGGGGTTAGGCGCTTTCTTCCTGGGAGCTCTTGCACTCCTGCCCTTAGGATCTGCCTAAGACCTCCAAGTCATAAGTGGGGAGGCACAGCCTCTTCCACCACACCACAAGGGAGAGTAGGACTACGCGTCCCGCCTCAGGGCAAGGGCAGACGGCACAGAGAAGGAAGCCTGGGGTCCAAACTGGCATCAGGATGCTAGATGAAGTTTCTCCTGGAATTCCTGGGTGGAGGGTAATTAAAAATAACAATAGCTGTAACCATTTTGGGCTTTGGGGCTTTTAAGTGAAACATAGTGACATTTTTGTGGAGAGTTGAAAAGAAAAAAAAAACTTAAATGGAAGAAAAGGAACTAGTGGGTAGGAGAATATGCAACGTTGTTGCCCATTAACTGTTACCTCCGTGCTAGGTCCTCCTACTATCTGCGTGCCCCAGTTGTAATGATGCAGAAATTGAGGCTGGACAGAGGGTGGAGGGATGCTCACGTCTCCAAGCCCGGCACGCGGGGAGCCGGATGCCAAGCCGGGCCCCTTGAGCAAGGAAGTGGGCCAGGAAATCGACCCCTTGCGCGGTGCCTTTGGGAAGGGGTCTGCCGTCCCCGAGGGGACTTTCGGGACTGCGGGCTGGGGCAGGGGTCGGCGGAGACGAATCCAGGTCGGGAATTTGAGGGAAGTGGACCCGGGGGAAGTGGGATGGATGTGGTGGCTAGCTTAACGCCCAAACCCAGAGGGTCTCCATGTGCAAGGCGCAGTCACTCGACCCTTCAAAAGGGAGGCCGCGAGGCGGGCGCAGCTAGGTCGGGCGCTCGGGACGGGTGCGCAGGGTGGGGTAGGATGCAGACGTGGGCCCCGGCGCCTGAGACGGCTGTAAGGCTGGAAGCCCTGCCGGACTAAGGGTGGGCGACTCACCCCGGCTGCCGAGCAGCTCCACGGCGAAGACGCGCCGCCGGCCCAGCATGGCCCCGCTCCGCCCCGACCGCTGCAGCCGAACCGAGCGCTCCCAGCCCGCGTCCCCCCGCCGCTGTCGCACTCGCAGCTTAGCTGGTGCGTCCGGACCCCCTGGGTGCGGCCCCCCGGACACTCCCAGCGGGGGAGGGGTGGGACGGGGGAGGTGAGGGGCGCAGGTGTAAGGGGGCGGGGCTGCACGCGGGGCCACGCGCGGCTGAGCTAGAATAAGGGCCGGGATCCGCTGTCCTTCCGCGCGTGGCGGCCCCGCGCTCCCGCCGCAGCCCAGGAGCGGAGTCCCCGGCCTGGGGTCACCCCGCCCCCAGCTCCACGCTCGGTCTGCCTTCCTGCCGCCAAGATGAAGCTGGCGGGCGGGGAGTGGACCGGCGCGCGGAAGGAAATGGAGCCCCACGTGCTGGCTGTGGGAAGGGCACTGACCGGGACGCAGCGGTCCCTGCGCTCCCAGCTGTGAGCCTGGGGCGAGTCACTCCGCCACTCAGAAACCTGGCGCGATAAAAGGGGGACATGATTTCCGCCCAGAGGGAAATCTTTTCCGACAGCTGCCAAGCACTTTGTGTCCCGGCTAGCAATGAATCTCCTCCTCATCCCGCACCTCTTCCTCACTCGGGGACCCTGAAACTGGGGGGCTGGGTGGGACTTCAGGATTGGGGAAGAAGTGCGCCTTGGGGACAGGAGAGGAGCCTGGAAGCGGCGCGAGTGTAAAAGTTCCCCGGTCCCCACCCCAGCCATCTTGGGGCCCTTGGGATTCTTACCGCATCGCCACCACCACTCCCACCGCTCCCTCCACCCCCTGATCCCCGCGCTGAAAATGGGCTGGGAGCCCAGACAGCTGCTGAAGGAGAGACAGTTTGGTGACCAGACGGGCGAGTGGCTTCTAAGGAAACCTCTTTCTCCTGCGGAAGGTGACCAGCAGGATCCAAATCCCCTGGAGGCAGATGAGGGAGCTGGTGGACGTGCAAACCTGCACCTGAGCCTCTGGGGGAGGGTCCGGAGCCTGAGCTGTTGGCAGTGGCTGTTAGCTGGGAGGGAGAAGAGGTCTGCCCATCCCTTCTGCCCTGTGCTCCTTCCTACCCTTCCTCAAACACCCTACGCAGGAGCCCTCATCAACTTGTAGCCACAAACTACAAGATTCTAACTTTATAAGATGGGGAAATTGAGGCCTACAGCCACGCCTCAGAAAGGAAGCATGACAGCCAAATGCCTGCATTACCAGCGATCTCTTCACACCGTGATTTTCAAGCCAAGCCTTTCCCCACTAGCCATGGGTCCTCTGGGTTGCCCCTCCTGGACAACACCCCCTCCCCATTCCTCTTTCCCAGATACAGAAAGGGAAACAACACTGGGCCTGGCAGGAACTGCTTTATGGAAGTCGGAGACAGGATGTGTGGTACCAACCCCCCCCCTCCCCAAGACCATGCCAGACACACTCCAGCTCTCCTAGGTAGGAGGGTAAGAGGGCTGGTGAGTCAGGTGGCTTCCTCTCTGCAAAGTGAGAGTGTGGGGAGGGGAAGGGAGGAAACCTTTGCCAGATCTTGCCCTGAATTTGGAGAATGTAGGGCCAGATTCCAAGCAGCAGTCTCCTTGGTGACTCTGGGGCAGGAATGCATCTGGAGCAGGAAGCCAGCCAGCAGGAATGCAGTGTCTCAGCACAAGCCTTTGTGTGGCCTCAAAAGAACCCCCCAACACGCATACACTTATACCCAACCACACTCCCCTCCAGGCCATGTTTCCCCCCATGCAGATATGCCAGAGCCCTCGTGGTGATCAGGATACCTCCTGCGGGTGGGGATTGGGGGGCACACACTTCCCTCTCATCTGCCTTTTGCTGCCCTGACTGGCAGGCAGCCCTGCGCCCCGAGCTGGGACAGGCCTTCACCACCCGGAGGGCTCTGTGGCCCCACATGATTACCACGGCAGCGTCCTTCACCCCGACTGCAGGAGGAGCATCATCTCCCTTTGATTGATGCTTGAAGGAATGGGAGGGGCAGCACAGCCACCCCACCCCTGCCTACCTCAGGGGTAAGCAGCTATCGTGAGTTCCTGAGACATGGTGGCCTGAGTAGAGTCATCCCTCAGGCTGAGGCCAGGGGTGCCCAGCTGCCCCTCCACTTCCTTGGGGAGAAGCCACAGCTTAAGGGAGTGCATTTCCTGCAAGCTCAGCACTGAGCTAGGCCCTGTGGGACCAGGGACAAAGCCAAGAGCCTGGGAGCAGCTTCTGCCAGACTATAGATGGCCGCTGAGAGCCATAGTGACCTCCTTAGTGGCCTAAAAGGGTGTCCCTGGTGATGGACGGGCAAGAGTACCCCCACCCCTGGGCAAGCCCGAACCCCAGGAATTAGGCTGTAGGTACCATCCCTGGCCCCTAGGAGTCCTTGGACCAGTTGTTCATCTTCCCTATCCTTGGTTTCTTCATCTACAGACAAGGATGATAACAGTACCTACCAAATTGTGAGGATTAGAGTTAAAAAGCACTTAAAACATCCCTGGCACTTAAGAATCATCAAGCCATCAAACTTTGGGAAGGTCTCTTTGTTTCATCTCTAACTGAAGGGAGCTGTATTAGATGCTCTCTCGGGCCACTTCTAACTCAAATCTATCATGGTTTCTGAAGTTATTCCCCAAACTGCAGAAAAAAAAATAAAAAGAGCACTGCACAGGACAAATTGCAATTGCATAATTGCGCGGTCTCCCCCACGCCATGTCTGGGTCAAAGGGCATAGGGGTGAAGTCAAAGATGACTCCAGTCTTCTCTGTTGACAAATGGCTAATAACGCCATCTTCCAAAGAAGTTTGCTCCCAAGTTCGGGCTGGCTGTGTGTCTGCAGAGAGCTCTGGAGCTGAAAACCCTTAGAGCCCCTGGGAGGAGAGCTGACTGCCACAACTAAAGAAGTGGATTTTAGCTTGAACCCATCTGGCTTTCAAAAAGCATTCAATAATTCTCTCACAGGCATACCCATTTTACAAGGGTCTCTAACTCCCCATTTGTTTTCTTCTCCTGAGAAGACAGCTGGCCCAGCAAGGTTTGTTACAGGCAGGGATCTCACCATATTAATATTCCAACCCACCCTGTCCCAACTTGTTACTTCCCTGTTTAAAGTTTTCAGTGTCCCCAGAGCCTCAAGGTGAAGTTCAAGCCACTTTTCCCGGCATTCAAGGTTCTCATCTCTCCTTATCTCGGTATCCCCTCCAGTCACTGCCCTGAACGGAGCATTCCACTTGGACTCACGTCCATTACTCCACAGTTTTCTTTTCCACCCACCTTGTTCATCCTTTCACACAGATGGCCCCTGCACTGAACTCACAGGGCACGCCTGTGTATTCCGTCTTAGCTCTTAAGCACTCACTGCCATGTAGCATTATTTCATTCATGCCGGCTCAGTCGCTGCGACTTGACTATTATCTTCAGGAAAGCAAGAAAAATGCTAGATCTTTCGGCATTCCCACTGTGCCCAAAGCCCAGGTGTTTCCAGAGGGGCGAATTCCCCTTTTGCGGGCATTCTCCCCTGCGGTAGGGCCCACCTGACACTAGGTGGCGCCAAGGAGGCTTTCCCATTTCAGACCAGACGTTGTGGCCTGACTTGCTCCTGAGCCACAGAAAGCCTGGATCTTTTCTAATGGAAATCAAGGCAGCCATCCAGGCAAAAGGTGAGACAATTATATCAAGGTGCAAATTATTTCAACAGGTGCCCGAGGAGGTAACACAGTGTTCGCCAAGATTCCTTCCAAAAAGAGACAGCACAAAGCACCCTCTGAAGCCCAGCTTTGATCTTTCCTGTGAAAATAAAGCGGAGGCTGCCACCCATCCCTCAGGCTGACTGGGGGGGGGGGCAGGGTGAGTCTGGAGCACCCAGCAGCACCCATGCACCTTTCTGAAATGTCCTCTGGAATTAAGAGTGGGGTGAGGGAGGAGTCAAGCCAAAAATCTGGCAGGGGACCACTGCCCCCTGCTTCAACTCATATATACTCCCAAGGCAGGCTTACCTAGCACTGACCATGCATTGCTTCTTGTTTTATTTTTCCAATCAACCACCAATGAAGCCAGCGGGGTCTCCCAGAGGAAGTTGTGGGCAGACCAACCCTGACACACTGGTGAGGCCCTCAGTGGGTGGTGGTCCCTCAGGGTGGGGGCTCTGCTGGGTTGCCCCCCACCAGGGAAGCCTAACCTGCAGCCCTGTCCCAAGTGACTTCTGGTGATTATCTTTCTCAAGTGGGTACAGACAGGTTCGTTGAGTGAAGGAGGTACTCTGGATGGTACCCTGTTCTGCCCATCCTTTGGGTAAGTCAGCAGGGCTGGCAGCAACCACATCAAGTACAGCAAGGGGCACAGAGAGCTGTAGCCCAGCCAGTGCTGGTGGACCAGGAGATGGTCACGTGGATGGGTCTGGGGCCACCTCCTGAGTTTCTGCTGCCTGCTTCCTGCATCCCTTCCCCTCCTCAGGCTCCGGGTGAGCAACTTATTCCTGTAAAGTGTCAGGGACCATACCAGGAAAACAGACATCTTCACAAAAGGGTCCAGGCTAAAAGAAGCAGCCTTTTCAACAGGGGTGTCACATGGTAAAGCACCTGGTGGGGTGAGGGTGTCAGGGGGGAAATAAGAGGGAAAAAAAATATGTAAATAAAGCCTCTCCACCTAGTGGTAGAGAGAAGCTCATCCCCAGGGCCCGGGGCAGGAAAGGGCAGGAAAGCGGGGCAGCTACTTGGTTTCGTTCATGTATATATATATATATATTTACCGAGCTCACACGCTGGAAACTTTATACACTGAATACCTTTAGTCTCTGGGCCACCCCTCTCCTTCTAGATACTAATCTCCGTGACCCAACCTGCTTAACCCCTGTTGCACAAAGACGTCCCATGCAGAGCACACCTCAGACTTTGGTGCACAGCCTGTCCTGCAGCGGGGAAGCAAGAATATCTACAAAGTCCTGGGAAGGGAAGGCTGCCCACACCCACAGCCCAAGACAGGCCCCAGCCTCTGGCCTCACCCAGCGAGGAGGAAGGGGCCCCACCACCCACCATCTCCCTTCCATGCCAACTTGCTATTGGCATGGCCTGGGCGTGGCGGTGCCCACCGAGTCCAAGGCGGGCTGGCAGCGCAGCTGGCGCTCAGGCCTGGGAGTTGAAGGTGGGGGTTGCTGAGTAGCGCTGACGCGCGTGCTTCTCGCAGTACAGCTCATCCCCCACCCAGAAGTGCCCACGCATCTTCAGGTTCAGGCTGCAGTCAGCACAGGTATAGCAGCCCGGGTGGCGGTACCGCCCCTCCTGGATACGCACAGCCTGGTTCCTGCGGACAGAGGAGCGACAGCCATTAGCCTGGGGGTGGGGAACCGCAGCACCAGGCATGATGCCCCCCCCATTCCCATTCCCCCAGAGGCGGCACCTGGGAAGACCCCCCAAACCTCAGACGCTTGACTCCCCAAGCCTGCCCTTAGGAATCTCGCTTCAACAACCCTCCGGCCCCCACCCCCAGACCCCCTAATGCCCCAAAAAAGTCATTCCTGCCCCGATAAAAGGCAGATAAACTCCATCCTGAATCTGCTGGATTGTTAATGGGGCAGCGGTTCTCAAAGTGTGGTCCCAGGTGTCAGGACCAGCAGCATCACATCACCTGGGGACAAGCTAGGAATGTAAAATCAGAAACTCTTGGAGGTTTGGCCCAGGAATGCTCTAACAAGCCCGGCGCACCCTGTCACTGCAGATGAACCACCAAGGCCCAGGGAGGTTAAGGGATTTGCCTCGAGGGAGTCATCTGACCCTCCACATTGTGCATGGGAAGAACTTTTACCAGGGGGGCTTTCAGCAACTTCCAGAGAATGTGGCTGTATTATAATGCCACCCACTGAGAAAAATGAACCTACTTCTGGAAAGTTTATCCTGTTCCAAAGGGGGTGCGGGAGGGGTAAGAGCAAGGTTTTCCAGGAGAAGGCACCTCATCTAGAGGCAGATCTCCAGAGGTTGGGAGATTATTGGAGAGAAATGAAAAGCAGTAGCAGGTCTTGCTCCTTTGGGGAGGAGGGGGAGGAAGTCAGGGAGGAAGAAGCCAGCGCAGGCATTCTAAGAAGACTGACAACGACCCACAAAACCCCTCACAGGTCCACTGTGGCAATGTGGCCCTCCACGGTCCCTGACTGGTTGTGGTATACAGGCCCCTCTGGAGCGCACCCTGTACCCTGTCTGCCACCCTGCCTCCCAGGCCGCCAACACTCACGCAATGCTGGTGCTGCACTTCTCACACGTGTGGAGCTTGGGCGGGGTGGCCAGTGCCCTGGAGGTAGGCAGGGAGGCCTGCGGGCTCAGCGCGCTGGGCAGGAAGGCAGGTGTGCCACCTGGGAGGGGTGGGGCAGACACACACATCAGAGCTGGTCTACCACAGCAGCATCTAGGTTGTACTTATTTACACACACTCCACCTGCTCCAACACGCTCCGAGGATACTCACAGGCGCACGTACTGGAGGGCCTCTGGAGTAACGCTGGGAATGGAGGGAGGAAGTGATCACACTAGATCTTTGGCTGAGGCTGGGCAAGTATAGGAAGCATGTCCGAGGCTGAGTTATAGCCCGAGCTAAGGCAGCAGACGGGAGCGTCTGTGCTCAGGTCTGACATGGCAGGCCAAGCAGCCGTTTCCTCTTGCATGGCCCAGTCATGATGATATTAATGGACGGTAATAATAGGTAATAACAGCACCATGATACCTTTGTACAGTTTTCAAAGGGCTCTTATGTGCATTATTGCAACTGAGCCTTGGACCACGCTCAGATGAAGCACGGATGTCATGAAGCAGGTATGGCCCCCATTTGCAGCTGACCCCGAGGCGCCAAGGGTGATGTCACCATCCAGCTGTGCTCTCCTCACCCCACTGCCTCTCCTTGGCCCCTTGTAGGGGCCCCGCCAACACCTCCAGGTCATGATGGACCAGACTGGCTCTAAACCTTTACATCCCACCCCTTGCCTCTATGAACACCCCCCAAGGAGATAGACAGACATCAGAGTTGAAACCAGCCACTAGGTCTGGTGACTCTGCCACTCACATCTTTCTCCTGACCATCCCATTCTCTTGTACCCTGATGCCATTGCCCAGGCCAGGCCCTCCCCATGTCTCCCCTGGATTAGAGCAAACACGCAGACAGACACACAGACACACAGACACACACACACACACACACACACACACACGAACTCCTGCAGCAGCACTGTCTACTCCCTTGGGAGCTGGGCAGGCTTGTCAGCCCCAATAAACAGAGGTCCTGAGCGCCTTCCATCTCCACACTCTGCACATGGCTGGTCCACAACGAGCACAGTAAATGTTTGACAAGAGCCCATATCAATTGGTATCATCTGTACTGCTCACTTTGGCATCTCAGGCACTGCCTGGCATTATTGAACCAGCCCTCCTGGGTTAGGCCACTCCTAAGCATGGTATGTGAGGCCTCACAGCCAGGACTTAACCTCCAAGGCTGCCCTGCTTGCTGCCAGGCCCGCTATTCTCTGCTCCCACACCCAAAAGCCCTCAGGCGGCCAGCCTCCACATTGCACGGTCTCCTTGCCATCGGCCATTCGGTAAAGGCTTCATCTATACCATGTCAAATCCCTCTTCCTCCATGAAGAAGACTCCACCACCAGGCTCTATTGCTCCCTTGGCACTTTCCTGATCCCAGCCAGCACCTGGGGCACCCCTGGTAACCCCACCCGACGGTAAGCTCCTTCAGTGCAGGGCCTGTGGCTTCTAGAAGTCAGTACCCCCTTGGTGCCTGCTCTCATGATGAGCACTTAAGGAATACTAGCTCAATAACATGTCCATTCAGGGTCCCGGGGTATCCTGGGGAACCTCCTTCCCCTACCTGAGCCCCTCAGGGCCTCACCTCTCTCCTCAGCCTCCAGGGCTTCCTGCAAGAGCCGAAAGGAGCTGGACTGCCGGGGAGCCACCCGCCCCTCACGATTTTCCTGCAGCATCTTGAAGACTTCTGATTCCTCTCCCAGGACGTGGCTTCCCCTGTCCGACTCCACACTGCAGGAATGGGAGGCAGCCAGGATTGAGGGTCCATTCTGGGTGTTCGGAAGATTATGGGGGCAGCAAATGGGTGTCCCAGGAGAAAGGATTCTAGGGGTCAGAGGAAAGCCACCTGGGCTTACAGGGGCGAGGACCCCGCACCCCTCTGTGGGAAACCAGTCTGTCTCTTGCTCCTTTCAGCCCTCCAAGATCCCACCCCACCCTCCGGGGCCTACTGGTACCTGAATCTGGGGCTGCAGGATCGGGGGCCTGGGGAGGACGGCAGCACCAGTACAGCTGAGTCGCCAGCGCGGCCGAGGCCTGCCTGTGGGAAGGAGAGGCACCAGGGGAGGAGTCAGAGCCAGGGCCTTTGGCCAGCACACCCATCGGGCCGCCAAGGCCAGCTGTTCCCAGGCCCAACAGCAGAGGGCTCCCGGCCCTTGCTGACCAGCAGGTCCCCATAAGGGAACGTCGCTTTGACCCTGCCCTCAGAGCCAGGGCCCCGGGGGCTGCTTCTGCTCTGTCCCAGAGGGAAGGGAGGCAGCGTCTAGCCATGAAGGTATGAGGGTTCTACGGGGGACTGGGTGAGCGGCAGAATGAGGACCGGCGGGCACAGCCATCTAAGCTCGGACACAATGCAAATTCCTCTGTTATCTCAGGCCATGTGTTTGGAAAGATGTTGCATGTTGGGACCTGGCTCCTCTGACAGAAAAAGCAGAGAAGCCAACCCTTTTGCAGTGAGGAAAAGGCAACATAAAGGGGTCGAGCGACGGGGGCCAAGACCCATCTGGGAGTCAGGGCTGGGGCTGAACAAATGACTTCCCTCCCACCCATGCTGGTTTCCCTTCTAAGAGGGCTGGAGTCTAGGCTGACCAGCCTCTCCCAGCCACCCTGGGAGGTCTGGTCCTGCTCCATGCAGCCGTGGGGAGTCGGGCCAGGCCCGCACCTCAGCTCTGGGCCCGCACCCCAGCAGCAGTGCCTCCTCCCCACGTTCCTCTTGGGCTCTTACAGCTGCTCTCCACCTGAATTAGCTCACCTTCCCTGGCTTCCTGGCCTCGGCACCCTCCCCCATTCTGCTCCCTCTCCGACTCATCCCCATGCAAAGGAGAGCCTCAGAGACCACCAGGTGGCGTGGTGCTGAGGGCAGTTTCCTAGAAAGCCAAATTCCCTTGACCTTAAAATTCAAAGTCAGGGACAAATGATGGGGTCAAATGGAAAAAAAAAAATGCATGAGTTCTTAAGCTAAAAGTGGAAATGTCAGAGTCTTGAGAAGACAGCCCTATGACTCTCACCAGCCTGCATTCCTCTGCTCTTAGCTCTTTGTGAAAACATTCTACAGGTGAGGAGACAGGGTCAGAAGGGCAAAGCAGCTGGTGCAAGCCACCCGGGGAGTTGGAGGCAGGGCCGGGAGTCCACATCCAGGGCTTCTGGGTGCCCAGCTGGTGCCATGGGGTCAAATGACAGACGGTGAGAAAATTTCCTCAGGAATGACAGCCAACACCGGCTAGCTACTCAAGAACGGTGCCCCATCTGGCTGTCCCAGTATGTGCCCTGCACCGGAACACTGGTCAATGGGGAGAGAGTGCCGAAGTCTGGCTCAGGTCCCTTTGAAAGCCCAGTCCTCATGCTGGCCAGAGGGAGAGGCCCTGTTCTCACTTCACATCTGTTCACCAAGGCGTTTGCCTACCTGGAGGGGGAAACCTCCCGTTTCCAGAAGGGCACCGTAAGGGCTGCTGATGTTCTGCATCTTGGGCTCGGTGCAGCCTCAGCCCGCTCAAGAGCCAGCAGCAAAGCCACGGCCACAGCAGACTGGGATGGGGGCATCTCCTCTAAGGTGCTCTCTGCCCCCTTCCTCCCACCAGACCACCCCCCCCTGGTGGAGAGGCCCCAAGTCCCTCACTTGGAGCAGCTCTGCTTTTCTTCTCTCTCCCTCCCAATCAGCTCAGCCTTCACAGAGGGGACCTTTCACCTCTGAGTCCAGAAAGCCTGCTCACCTGCCCATCAAGAGCTGTCTGTTGCCAACACCTCTCCAAATGTGTTCTGGGGGAACACGGGATGGTAATAAGTGAGTGGCAAGGGAGGGAGGGTGCCAGGAAAAATTCTGCAGTTAAACAAGTTTAGGAAATGAATAAAATTAAATGTGTGTCTTTCGCTCAGGACTTCTTAGAGCCTTTAAGGTGCTAAAGTGATTTCCACGAGAGAGCTGTGGAAACCTGTGACTCCCATGCTGTCTGACCCCAGCCTCACTTGTAGATCAGAATGCAAGTATCGTGGGGTTAGTATTTCTCTTTGTTTTTCCACCACTGCATCACCAGAGGCTAGACGGGTGCCTGACACAAAGCAGCTGCTCGATACATATTTGTTGAAGGAATGACCGGGAGGGGGGGAGGGGGGCTCAGGTGATCCTCACATCTTTGCAGGCATCTGATCCCTGAGGGCTCCTTAAAATGGATTGGTGCCCCCACCCCCTCACTCCCATGTCTGATTCAGTAGGTCTAGGCTGGAGCCTGAGAGTTTGCATTTCTAACAAGTTCCAAGGTACTGCTGGTGGTTTGGGAACCACTCCCTATACCACCTGCATACCCCCTTTGCCCAGAAGGAAAGGAAGGAGGCCAGGATGGACAGCCCCTCCTGTCCGAGCCATGCCCTAGGACAAGCTCACTCCTGACTGGTCTCAGCCAAAAGCTCTCCAGGAGGAGGCCCCCAGGCCCAAACACACAGGTCTTCCTTGTTACCACTGCTTTCCTCTCCCTCCCCCCATCACCTTCTATTTTAAACCCTACCCGGTCCTACCTCCCGACCCTCCAGCAAAATTCCTGACGAAGCCTTCTCAGGCCACCCCGGCCCACGATCATCTCTCTCTCCTCCCAGAAGGCCTCCTGTTTTCATAATTAAGACCACACTGTTCAGTGCTTAATTGTTCCAGAATTGTTTTGCATATTTGTCTTATCTCCACAGATACATTTTAAATTGTTTAAAGACCAGGGATCTCATGGAACACATCTTTATGCTCACGTGGCCTGGCAGGCCACGAGGCAGGCCCACAGAGGGTCACCAGGGAGCCCCTACTAGGCCGTCCCCAGAGGACCCCACTCCTTCCTTCTCCAGAGCCCCCACCCCCCCGTTTCTAGTACCCTCTCCCAGCCCTCTCCGAAGGCTCTGTCTGCTCTCTGGAATGCAGAATCATCCAGAGGTAGGATTCCAGCAGCTGGGCTTCGTCCCCTTCACCCCAAAGGCTGGACATGCCCTCCGAACCCTGCCCCCAGCAGCTGTGGCCCAGCGCTGTTGGCCGCCTCGCTCTCTCACCTCCCCACCCCTGCCCTTAGAGAGGAGAAACACCACCAAGGGGGCTTGGCTGTCGCTAGTGGACAGTGAGAGCTGGTGAGGAGGTTCCAAAGGAGCAGGGCAGGGGTGGGAGCCAGACCTAGAGAGGGCCAAGTGCAACTCGAGGCAGAACCGCAGTCCTGCTGGTGGGTCCCTGAGCTGAGCCAGAGGAGGAAGTAGGGGGATGGGGTGGTGGAGTTGGGCACGCATGAGGCTGGAATGGGGAGGAATGTGTTCAAGAGATGCAGCCAGAGCCAAAGGGAACCATCCCAACAACAGCAGCAAAACTATGTCAGCCCTGACCCAAAAGAAACACTCGAGAAGGGAGGAAGCCGGCAGGAAGCCGGGAGGTGGCAGTGAGTGGGCCTGAGGAGGCAGAAGCCCACCTGGGACCAGCCGGGCGGGACCCGGGCAGCCAGTGTGACCCACCAGCGGACAAGATGGCCTCCTTGCTCAGGAGACAGGAGTGCCTGCTGCTAGGAGACGGAGGTGCGGGCTGCCCAGATGGGACCAGCCGCCTGCAGCCCCACGGGCACCAATGGCAACCAGTGGGCATGGGAGGCTCTCTCCTTATCCCCGGTATCCTCACCTGTCGGCTTCCAGAGTGGCCCCCATAGGACAGACGGTCAGCAGCAATGAGTCCCGGGGGGTGTGCCAAGACCTGGAAACTGAATGGGGGAAATGCATGGTGTGTCAAGGTCCCCGTCCAGCCTACCCCAGGGAAACAGAGGGTGCCCCTAGGGCCCTCTAAACACAGCTACTGAGACTTTAAAAGGCCTGGTGGCCAGGGTGCCCACCCCCTGCACTCACCTGCGGCTGATCACCGCCTCTCCAGGGACAGTGTGCAGGCTGGTGGGGGACTGGGTAGATAAGGGGCTGTTTGCCCGCGGACTGAGGGAGGCTGGGCTGGAGCAGGAGGACCGCAGGGAGGACTGGCTGTCACTGTGTGTCCTCACAGAGCCCTGCGGAGACAAGGCCACAAACAGTGGGCCGCCCATCCCCTTGGGCACTAACCCTGAGGCCTCCCCCACACTTCAGGGCGCTGGTGCTCCCAGCTGAAGGCACCATCCTACCTGGAAACGTGTAGCCAGCACCTCCACAGAGCTTTCCCCATTGGTCTGCCCAGGAGAGGCAGCCTGGGACCTGAGGAGAGGGCAGAGGAGGCAAATGTCACAGAGGTCCCGCAATCCTGCTTAGCTGGTAGGGGCTGGAGATTTCAACTGTCCCACACCAGGTTCACAGTAGTGAAATGTCCAAAACTTTCAGACAGCAGGTTGGAAGCTTCAGCAAAAAGTTACATAAATTCAACTTTATTAAAAACTCCTCACACTGTCCCTGCTACCCCACCTTTCCTTTTTCTTTTCTTCTTTTCTTTTCTTTTGTTTTGTTGGTATTTCATCTAGACTTTGTCACTGGTCAGCATCAATTTGTACATCGATTTTGGGGGAGATAGCAGATTTCATAAAATAATCCTTTATCTTTCACCCACGGAGAAACGAAGCCTGGAGAGGGAAAGTGAGTTGCCCAGGGTCCTACAGCCCAACAATGGCTGGACCAAATGCCCACTCTCCCCAGCCAGAGGCTTGTCCCTCGCCAGCTTCACCGCTGATGGCCAGACTGCCTTTGAGAGGGTCACTCCCGGTCCCTTCCACAGTGTTCTCCCTCATAAAACAACAGTGGGGCTGTCCCTCTTCCCACCAGGCAGGCAGCTGTAGGACCTCAGGTCTCCCGCCAATCACCAAGGCGGCCAACAAGAGGGTTCCCCCACCCCAACGCCCCAGGAACCCTCCTCCAAAGCCCTTCCCAGTGGAGTCCAACTGGATCCTCGAAGAGGCCACTGGAGGGCCAGGAGCTGGCTGAGGGTGGGCAAAGCGCCTGTGATGTACCATCCCCACTGCACCATTCCTGGAGGGATGTCTGACCACTTCTAGAGAGGTCAGCAAGTCACCACACACCACGCCAGCCCCTGCCTCCCAGGGGAGGGGTGTGGAATCAGAGTGCGGAAAGCTCAGGCTGCGGCTCCAGCCCAGAGCACTGCTTCCTGCCACAGGGCTCTGAGTACCTGAAAGGTCATGGGGGTGGTGAGGGGGTTGTTTAGGGGGGATTAGGTAGGAGCTGGGCAAAAGAAAGAAGAGACATAGAGTCTTGACCTGCCCAACATGGAGCTGGAGGCCTGGGGGTACTTGGCCAGATGGGGCTGAGTCCCTCTAAGAGGGACCTGAAAGGAAATGATGGTGTCAGCAGCTCCCTGCCCCTCTCGGCAGCCTGTTGTAGATTTTGGTCCTCTTCCCAGATGCCATGAGGTACTCCCCACCCTCCTCCTCTGAGTCTCACTCTTGCAAACACTCTTGAGCCAGAGTGGCACGAAGGAGTCACTAGAGGGGCCAGGGCCCCCAGAGCATCAAGGGAGCCAGTTTTTACAGCACTGCGGGAGAGCAGGGGCCAGGAGAGGGCAGGGAGTCAAGGCTCAGGGAGAGCCAGGTGGAGGGGGCGGTGGCGGAGAGGCAGGAGGTACCTGACTCAGGTTCAAGGCCCGCCCAAAGGGCTCTCCTGGCTGAGGGAATCTCCCAGCGTTCCTGCCCTGTGACTCACCAAGATGCCCCACCCTGAGGAGCCACCTGTCCTCCCCCAAACCCAGGCCTCCAGGCTGCAAACCCCACTAGCCAGAAATCTGCCTTCACCAGCAGAGCCCAGAGAGGCAATGAAGGGAGGGATAGGGACTCTCTGGGGAATGCGCCCTCAAATTCCTCACCTTCATCCTTAACCCCGCCCCCCCCATCCAAACAAAGGCCATGCCCTCTTTACGTCAGGGGCCCTGGAGACCCAGCCTAAGGCACACCTTTCACCTCTTCAACCCACTTGATGCCCACGCCCAGTGCCCCACACACTTGGGAACCAGTCAAACCCGGGCGTCCAGGTGGCTGATGCCAGCCTGCCCTACCTGTGGCCGCACGCCCAGCTGGGCACAGGGACACCCCTCAGCCCACTTTGCCGCAGGCCTGGACCCCTGGACCTTCTCACAGATGAGCCAAAAGGGCCTGGGAAGGCCAGGAGAGGCTGAGGACAGGGGGAGGGGCAGCTGGTGCAGCGGGCTGGCAGAGGGGAGAAGAACGCGAGCAGTCCCGGTGGAGGTGGAAGATGGAGGGCCTACCGGTCCAGCTGCAGCCGCAGTGGGGAGGGGCTCTGCCGGATCTTGCTCTGGGCCTCAGCATGAAGCATGCTCTCTGCACTCTCCCCGTTGATTGCCACAATAATGTCGCCAGGCCGAAGGTCAGCAGCCTCAGCCTTGCCCCGCTCCGTTACCTGTAGGGGATGAGGAGCGGGTACTCTGAGGTACCCCCACTCAGATAGTGGTGACACTAATGGAGGCAGGGAGGAGAGGGAATTTCCCTCTGTCCTACCCAAGAAACACAGAAGCTGGTTTGAACCAGGCTGACCTGTGTCCCCCTTTCGCATGTCCCCCTTTAGTCCCTCTCTATGCGCCCATTGGTGTCTGCCCCGCTAATCAGCTAATGCCCTCCAAAGCTGGAGGGGCAGCGCCCCTCCCCCGTCCCTCAGCACTGGCATTCTAAGCAGGGCCTCTCAAAGAATGTGTAATGACAGAATTTCAGGAACTGTGCTTGGAAGTGCTTTTGGATAGAGAGCCCTGCCCGTGCAAATTGCACAGGGCTGGTGGCTGCCTGCACACAGGCCCTGTGCGTGAACACTCCCAGGCCTGGGTCAAGGGGAAACTGCCAACAACTCAGGGGCTCCTGTCCTTGTCACCACCCAAAATGGCTGCCAGCAGGTATGGGGTTGGTGACCAAGGAGAAAAGAGCAGGCCCCATACTTGGCCCACCTCCTTGTCACTCCCCAGAAGCCTGTTCCTGATGTGGCCACCACATCCCCATGGCAACAGGGCCCCCACCCTACCTAGGGCTACACTCCCAGAAGCAGGCCTCTGGCTCCAGAACCAAAAAAAAAGAAAGAAAGGTGTCTGTGGGGACCACGTGGACAGGACAGACCCTATGGGGGTACTTCCTTATCTCCTGGAACTAGCCCTTACCTTGGTCACCATGATGGGTGTGTGGAAATCCCTGCCCCCGGTGATACGAAAGCCCCAGGGCGCCGGCCCCACCACGTCCACGGTCAGCTTCATACCTGAGGAAGAGAAGATGAGAGGCGGAGTCTGGCCCCCACTGGATGCTCTAAGGGGGCAGGAGAGAGGCAAAGGGAGTTGAGGTGGTGTCAGGTCCACGGAGTAACCAGTCAGGGGCTGGGGGTGGGGTGGAGAGGAAGTGACTAACTCCCTCCCTCCCTCCTGTTTCACTTCCCCCCAACCCTGGGAAGCCACACTCTGAGTTCCCCTTCGCTGTGTTCAGCAGAGCAGCTCCCTGGAGGTAGGCTGTCAGGGCCAGACAGGGGCTTGCTGGAGCGCTGGTGGGCAGGGGCTGGCAGGTGGCAGGAGATGTCAGCATTTCCTCCCCTCCCCCTCCTCCACCATCAGGGCTAAGTCCCACTAGTGCTTGCTTCCTGTCCCCAAAACCGACAGCACAAGGTACTTCCTCCGCACTCTGGGGGAGGGCAGCGCCGTGAGAACAGTGACAGAAAGGAAAAGGGTGGTGACACCACAGAGTGTTCAAGTAGTTGTCTGGGTCAGGGCGGGCCAAGGTGAGGCCAGGGTCCTCAGAGGGGCCTCCTGCTGCCTGCTCAGCCCCTGGCAACATGGCCCAGCTGGGCAAAGCCTAGGCTTCCCACCTCCCCCAGGGGCCTGCTGCCCTCCAAACAGCCCGAAAGAAAGATAGGCTTATCTGCCAAGCTGGGCACACCCATGCCCTTGGCACTGGCCATGAGGGTGAGCTGACTGATGCTGCCTGTGAGATGGGGCCACAGGCCTCCCATCCACTATCCACTCCCTGGGCAAGGGAGTGTCCTTGCAGACTGGGTCCTCGTAGGATTTCTGGAGCCTCTAGTTCTAGAGTCAGAAGCCAACCCAGGTAGAAAGCTGCAGTGCCAGGCTGGGACACCACCCTGCCCAGCACCCACCCTGGAGCTGCCTCTGGGGAGGCCCAAAGGCTGCGAGTGTTGCTCAAATCTATCCAAGGGCACTGGGGCCACCTCCCCGCGTTTAGGAGTCTGAGGAGGGGGCGCACAGGCCAGCGGGACTGTTTGCCCTCTTCCAGGCTCTGTGGCTTCCCCTTTGTCCAGGCCCGGGCCTCTGTCCACCCCCCAGGCTCCCGGCCGGCTCTAGCAGCTCACACGCCTTGGATTCCCAGACCTTTGAGCCGGCCAGTGGACTCCGCGCCGGGAGCAGCTGGGAGGTGCCCAGCCTGTGCGCCCGGCTCTCCCAGTTCCGGCGCCCTCTCGGCTCCGAGGCTTAAGTACCCGCGGGCCAGGGGCTGGAGGAGCAGAGCCCGGGATGGGGAAGCTTAGCCCGCGCAGGGCGCCATCCCCGAGGCGAGGCTGCGGAGAGAGGGGCTGGGGGCGCGGGAAAGGTCCCAGCGCCAAGGGGCGCCCAGGGGGCGCGGGCGCTCAGAGCAGCGGGCGAGCCGGGAGCTGGGAGGCCGCCGGCCGCGAAGACGGTGCGCAGGTGGGCGCGCTCAGCTGGACCCCGCTCACCTGTCGGGCTAGGCGGCCGGGTCCAGAAGGGAAGGGAGGGCGAGGTGACGCCGGCGCTCCCGCTGCCGCAGCCGCTGCCGCCTGCCCAACTCTGGGGAGAGCCGCCCGGGGCTCCGGGACCTGCCTCCGCCCATGTGATCCGGGGCCGCCCCTGCCGCCGCCCCGGCGAGGGAAGCCGCCTCCTCCGTGCAGCCCGGCCCCGGCGCTGCCTTCTGGTCCACGCCACGCTGTGGGGCGGGTGACTCTCTCTAGAGCCCCCTAGGGGCCGCGACCGTCGTCCCCGAGGTGCCCGGTCCTTCCGACTACACCCTGAGTGGAGAGGGGAGCCGTTCTCCTGGCGCTCCCGAGTCCCACTTCGCAGACGGCTGCGGCTGCGGTCCCCTAACGCTCTGCCCCCGCCCCGCCCCGCCCCACCAAGGGCCTGGTCTGTCTGCGGTGCGCCGGGCTGGTCCGCCCGCTCCAGGCTCCCACGCTGGCGCAGATGAAGTCCGACACCCACAGATCCCAAACTAGAGCCGCCCCGCCGCCTTCCCGAGGCCAACGCGCTCAAGGGGCGGTGGCGCAGAGCTTCCCGGCTAGAGATGTCCCCCAAGCCAGCTCCACTCTGGGCGACTTGTCAGATCCAGGAGATTTAAAGAGAGATGAGGAGGCTCCGATGGAGGTCACCGGGCACCCTCCTGGGCTACACACGTTCCTCCCTCTTCTGGGCTGATTCGTTTTCCATTCCTGGCTGCCCTCACCTTCTCTTGCTGCCCTGCTTGGGGCCGGCCAGCCCCAACAACCCCCACTGTCCCCCAGGTCCCAGCCCTCTGCCAACCACCTGGAACCCAAGCTCCAGGGATCAGGAGAGGACAGCCAAGGAGAGGCCCCAAGGCGCCAACTCAGAACCATCTGGCAAATGGTTCCCAGAGTCGTACCTAGCAACCCTCCCCCTGGGGACCTCACGGCCCACCAGAGCTGGCTCCACCTCCCATTGGTCTCCACTTTGCACGCTCTCTGACAGGCTGGTCTGTTTCCAGCGGGCACACCTGTGGGCACAGCTGTAGCTTGCTTGCCTCCGGTAGTCATTCCCTCCCAGTTCCCTTCGCATGGAATGCCCTCATGCCTACCTGTGCCCTGGGTCTCCTCCCTGTACACAGCCCAGCACGCCTCCAGCCTGCTACCTCCTGTCCCCAGCCTCCCAGAGCATCTATTCCCAGTGTGTGTAAGCCACTCTCCTACTAACTGGTCCTGTACCTGGTGGTGTGGCCGCCTGGCCTGATGCACCTGTCCCCCCCCCACACACACACACCTAGACTGGAAGCCCTAAGGGAGCAGGAAGCTACAGGTAGCGAGCAGGTACAGCTGTGGGGTCCCACAGACCTCGCCTTAAATGCCAGGTCTGCCTCTACTAGCTGTGTGACCTTGCGCAGTTTCCTCAGCTCCTCCGGGCCTCAGTTTCCCCGTGTGTAAATGAGGACAATGCATAGTTGTGCAGATTGCCCTCCCATATAAAGCTGCCTGCACACAGGGGGGCATGGTGGGTTTTTGTTTGGTTCACTGCTCTGTTCCCAGAGCCTAGCACAGTCTGGGCACACAGTAGGCATTCAGTAAATATTTGTTGAATGAATATTGTTCAATGATTGAATGGATTAATCCCCCTTCTTTTGTCACCCCCCCCCCCAGTTTGTGGAAGGGACTCTGTTATACACCTTTTTGTGCCCCGTTGACTTAGACAGTCCTTAGAAACATCTACAGGTTCATCTGCAGGGTTTCTGCTCTGTGGGTCCAGCATTCACAAAACTCAGGACAAAGACACAGTGGGCAGGGCATGAACCCCTGGAACAGAAGGGGTACTGCTCTGCTCTAAGCATCTCTGTGCCTCTGGGCACCTCACCTCTCTAATGGGAGGCGCAGTCCCAGTGGCCTAAGGTCTTTTCTGGCTCTGACTCCTCAGGCCCCCCTCAGCCCTCAGGCCTCTGAGCCTCCCTTTCCCACCCCCCTCATGCCAGTCTAGGCACAGAAGTGGTCATTGTACATCAGGGCTGTCATGGCAGGCAGCCCAGGGGCCTAGGGTTGGTTTGCTGCTGAGGTTTCAAGGCCCCATCAAAGAGAGGTGTGGATTTGGTTTCTGCCCCAGGGAAAGGAAGGCTCAATCCTGATATCTTTTATGAGGGCATCAGGGAACTCGAAGGAGCTGGGACGGGGATCAGGAACAGGCCAGAGGGGTCCCAAAGAACGGTCATTTCCACAGGTCGGGCTGGACCTGCCCAGTGAGGTCTAGGGTGGCCTCGATGATTGCAGGGGGCACGCAGGTCTTGTTCTTCCAGCTGCTGTTTAACCACCGCTGAGGCCCCGTCACAGCCAGGCTCAAGGAACCGGCCAGGGCCAGGCCACCACCCTGTCATTCACAGGCTCCACCCACCTGTCTTTACAGAACTGGGCCCCACTACCTCTTCCCACCCACCTGGGGTGGGGAAGCCTTAAGTGACAGGCCTGGAAGACAGGATTGCCTGGAAGAATGTAAAAGAGGCCCAACCTGTGGCCACCCCAGAGAAGTCCTTGACCTCGTGCATGACCTTCCTCCTGGGCTGAGGCCTCTGGGATAAGGAATGGCCTGGTAGACTTTGTGCAGACAGGTGACAGCAGTCATGAACCTGACGTCAGCATCTTATAATGATGTGACCCAGGTGACTGGATCTCTCAGCCTTCTCTCCTCCTGTGACATAGATGCAAATCTGCCTGCTGCGATGCTCATAGCAGATGGCGCGTGTTAGCACTTTATGCCCCACTCAGCCCCAGCACTGCCTAGGCATGACACTCTCCTTCTTTGGTAGAGCAGTCAAGCCCAGACTGTGCCACCGCTGTCGCCCCACAGCACCCACCAAGTCCTGAACTCTGAAACCTTGGGCGAGAAGTCGTTTTGGCTAGCTGTGGCCCACCACTCCCAGCTTCCCGCAATTGATTGCTCAAAAACCGGGACCTACAGAAGAAAGTAAACAAACACCCCGAGCTTCGGAGTGGAAATGGAGCACACAGAAGGAAACCATTAGGAGCAGAACAGCTAGACATGTCATCCAGCCCGGCAACCCCACAGCGGCTCCAGAATCAAAACAGCCTGCACACAAGGCCACATTCAGCTCCCATCTCTGGTTTCTCCCTACAATCAGGCCTCGCCCTCATCCCTGTGATGTTAGTTCTTCACTTGGCAGTGCCTGTCAGACAGCTGCCTAATCCTGGGGGCTGCCCAGTGCTGCCTGAGACCTGAGGCCTGAGATCGTTAGAGATAATAATGGTGATTTTCCAGCCTCCCCTTACACAAGAGCGTGTGCACGTGCACAAGCACGTGTACACACACACACTCACGTCCCACCTGATTCCCAGCACAGCCTGCTACAGAAAGAATTCCCATAATCCGAAGCAGGAGGAGGAGCCCTCTACCAAATCCCCCCCAAAAAAGAAGTACAAGGCAAGGTCCCTGGTATCCAGATTTATTTTACATTCTCTTCCAGAGGGGACTTGGGGGGTCGGGGGGGAGCTGAGGAGGCAGGAGGGCAGCCCACATTGGTCTCCCTGGAAAACATCTGGGATAGGCCAGGCCTCTTGAGGCCCACCCTTCCTGGGCACTACAGCAGCAGGACATACGCACAGCCCAGGCCCAGGGCTTGGCAGCCTTTGGGAAGAGGGGGCCTTGCGGCAAGACCGCTTGCCAGGCCTTGAATGCTAAGGAGGTGCTGCATCCAGCTCCCATCTCACTCCCAAGCCCGGCTGGGAGCAGGAAGGCAAAGGGGGCAGCAGGCAAGCTGGAGAGAAAGGGGAGGAATCCCCTCCTGCCAGCGGCCTTTGGTCTCGATTAGGTTAGGAAGCTGGTCCTTGTTAGAGGAACCCCATGGGGGTGAAGCTGGGAGCCAGTCCCTGTTAGAGGAAACGCCACAGCAGGGCGGGGATGAGAGAGTTGGGGGGCGGTCTGGTCTCAATAAGGCCTGGAAACAGTCTCCACTTCAAAGCAGACCTCTATATTTGGGGAGCAAGAGTAAAGGGAGGGAATAAAGGGGCTGTGAGAGGAATGCTTGTGAGCTGTGGGTGGGAATCCGTCCAGGGGGCTTCGAGGTGGCTCCAAGGGAAAGGCTGCTGGGTTGTCTGCGGATGCCAGCAGCCAGGTCCTGGGGAGGAGCGTGTAGGAGGGGGGTCCTCTCTCCCTCTGTGAAGTGCGACTGCTCCCCACCGCATCCTGGCTGGGCTCTGAGTTGCCGCTAAGGCCATTCACACCGGGGCTACATAATTTCCAGGGAACGTCCCAAACTTCTGGGTCCTCCGGGAGACACCTGGAAGAGGAAAGACAGAAAGATCGTTCTCCACACTTGTTTTTTTAATAGGAAAACGGGTGGGGGTGGGGGAGGGCCCTGCCCCCTGCTGGCAGTACTGAGAACTGCAGGGGAGTCCCTGTCTCAGGGAGCGAGGACTCCTTTTCCTCATTCCTGCCCCCTAGTGGCAGAAGCTTAGATAAGCAAAGCTACGCTCCCTGAATTCGATAACGACAGACAACTCTGAGCACTCAACCACTGTTGAACTTCGCACACAGCACTGAGTAACTCCACCCTTCCTGAAAAAGCAAGGAAGCATGAGGATGAATCACAGAACTTAAATCGGGAGGGATCTCACTGGTCTAGTATGACACCCTCGTTTTAGAGATCGGGCAAGTAAGGCCTAAGAGAAGGCAGAGTGAAGGCCTCCGAAGCACTCGGCTGCTGAGGGGTAGAGATGGGACCAAAATGTGGGCCTCTGGTCGGCTACACACCCAAAGACACCTGTGTCCTGGGGTGGTGGAGAGGGAATGCTAGAAGATACAGGAATATAAAACCAAATGAAAATCCTGGGGAAATCCCAGCAGGCTGGCATTCTAATTTCCTTAGGAGCAGCCCGTGCTCACCCTGCCCCCAGGCCTTGCTGATGCTGTTTCCCTCATCCAGTCCTTCAAACCTCCTCCACTTCCTCCAGGAAGCCTTCCCTGACCTACACTGTCCACAATGATAACCACCCGCCACGTGTGGTTACTGGGCACTTGAAATGCACTCGTGTGACTGAGAAACTGGAGACTTGCTAAACCTTTCCTCTAAAAGCACTCATGGCTTATATTACAAAAGTGGTGCTTTTTCTTCTTGTCTATATAAATTTGTAAGCCTTTATTAGCAATTGTAAAAAAATTCAAAAGCAGAAGTGTACACACTAAACTAAGAGCGTGCCCTTAGTCTATCCCTCTGAGGTACGCACTGTTAACAAGTGAGTACTTCATAATCACTGGTGTGTCCAAAGTCTGGTCAGCAGTGAGGTGCTGGGATTCAGGTGAGAAGGGTGGCTGCCAGGTCAAGGGACTACCGTTGTAGCCACCCCTGCCTAGGCAGCCCGCCCACCCTTCAGGCCCTACAGCCTGCCGCAGGGGGTGCTTCTGCCTGTTCATTGCTCTCCGAGGACAGGCCCAGCCTCGAAGCTGAGGCCTGGACGGGGCCTGCCCGCTCTGTGGAAACAGGCCATGTGAAGCCTGCTGAGGTGGTCACCTTGAACCAGGCCAAGGCCAGCCTGAGGCTTCCTGCTTTAGTCCATTGTCTGAACTGCCCTTGGGTCAGCCCTGAGCGCCGGGATCTTTCTCTCCTTTTGGTGGAGGGCAGTTATGGGAGCTAGCTGCCAGCTGGCGGTGGGGGTAGGGGAGGCACAAGTGTGAGACTTGGTTCAAGTCTGCACTGACTTCATCAATGACCCTGGGCCTCACCCACTTTGAGGCATGAGGGTAACAACAGAAGTGCTGGCTCTGGGGAAGCATCCAAGGCCAGGTCTTCCCAGCAGCCCTACTGGAAGTAGCTGTGTGTGGGGGGGTGGGGGTGGGGGTGGGGGTCAGGCCATGAATCTGTTTTGAACCAGCACTGGCAGGCAGCAGCACCCACCCAAACCCCCACCCGGACCTTGAGATAGCCCCTTCCGGTCTGACCCCAGCCCATCCCACCTCCCAACCCTGAGATAGCCCCCTTCCAGCCTACCCACCTCAGCCCATCTGCCAGGCCCACATACCCACAAACCAGCCATCGTCACACTGCTGCATGACATCCACCCGATCCCCCTCTCGCAGCTCCAGCTCATCCTCATTCTGGGGTCTGTACTGGTACATCGCCCGATACCTGGGGGAGACATTGCCGTGGCAACCACCAGAGCCCTGGCCCCTTCCCCAGTCCAGGCTCAGGGAGTCTAAACCCAAGTGTTGCCACTTCCCTGTGAATTTCCCAGGGTTCCTCCGTGCTCCCATTAGCCAACCCCCCCAACCTCCTGGAATGGCAACTCTGTCTGGCTCCAGTGCGTTCTTTCCCAGGCCTGCTCCCTGCCCTCCAAACCCTAACCACCCAAACCCTGCCTCCTCAGAGTTCCCAGTGCCTTCAAGTCTGTTCTACCAGTTCCCACACTTAACACTTCCTGCATCCATGCACTGACTTCAGGGCTGGAAACCCAGTGAGGAGACTGAGGCTGGGGGCCAGGTGTGGGAGGCTTGCTCTAAGGCCACAGGACTGGCAGGGACAGGTCAGGTCAGAAGCACCACAGACAAGTTGGCCCCCTGCCACCAAATTGCCCATAAGCACTGCAAGGACCAGCCCCACCTGGCAGGAATTTACCAAATCCACCTTGCGGAGGAAGGGATTGGCTACGGGGGTCAATAAGCTCAGCTCTGCCTACCAGCAGCTCCACACCCCTGACCAAGCACCCGCAGACAGTACTCACGGGGTCCAGTGTATCTGAGTGGTGCTGGGGGAAGAGGTCCCCAAGTCCAGGGAACGGCTGGAGCCTCCAGGATGGGACACAGCTGACCCAGGGGTGCCGGGACTCTGGGGGTCCACAGGAGGAAAGGCGTGTACATACAAGCATGAGGAAGGAGGAGTGAAACGGCCTTCCACTTCCCCGGGGGCGGCGCTTCCCGCACTGCTCATCTGATCCTCTGATCCCCGCTGCACAGGGGGCCTGTGACCGGTTCACATCACAGGTGCAGGGAGGCTGAGGCCCAGGTAGGGCAAGCGGCTGGTCTCTGAATGGGTCCATGCACTGGCTGTGCCTGTTCCTAATGGTTTGCTGAGTGGAGGGATGGCTGCCGGAGCAGATGGGCTTGTTTGTGTGCTGTCAGGACGGGGACCAACAACTATCCTCAACTACAAACGTTCAGTTCAAACACCCAACTACCCTCTGCGGTGGGAATTACCATCCCCATTCAACAGGTGAGGAACATGCTCCAAGTGAGAAAAGCCACATCCAGAGAGGGCAGATCATCTGCCCAAGGTCACACCACAGGCGAAGGGCAGACCCCCGACCCCTGGCCCCATCTTGTCCCAGAAGCAAATCACAAAAGCGGAGTCTGGAGGGTCAGGAGGCCTGGGCTGGCTTTACGGTCGCACCTAGAGCTGGCGAGCTACCCCGTCCTCCCAGGACTGTAGCTCAAGGGCCAAAACCAACTCGAGGGCTCTGAGGTCCACAAGGCCAAGGTGGGGCTGCAATGCCAGGTGCTGCCCAGTCACCCCTCCAGTCTATCCGGGGGGTGGAGGTTCTGGGAAGGATTCTGAAGTGTGGCCTTAACACAGGAACGGGGGAATATGGTGGGGGGAGTGGGAGTCAGTACTCCATCTGAGGCAGGTCACCTTACCTGGGTCTGGGGTCTGGGCTCCTGGGTGGGGAAGGAGAAGCCAGTGCGGCGAGGGGAGGTCCGGCCCCCCCAATCGGTGGGGTCCGCTGGGCTGCATGGTGTTAACGGGGAGCTGGGGTGACGGGCGGCCAGATGGGCAGCGGTCAGGCGGGGAGACGCAGGGAGCTGGGGGCCATCGTCACAGACCCGGAGCCGGGGCTCGCGGCACACCTGCACGTAGCTGGCAGGGAAGATGCCTTGGCGCCCTGTGCCTGAGATGCGCCCCTCGTACCAGTTCTCGTTCACCTTGCGGACCAAGCAGATGCGCTCCCCCTGGGGGGGAGAAAGGAGTCAGTATCTGAAGGGTCCTCCTGGGCACCGTGCACCCGAGGGCACCGAGGGTACCGAGGCAGGACAGCTCGCTAAACCTAACACCTTGCCCAGAGGGATCAGACTCAGAGAGGGTCAGCAGGTTATGCAGAAGTCACACAGGTAGGAAGTGGCAGAGTCAGGGGCCAGAGCCAGGCTGCCTGGGGGAGCGAGCAGAAGTCTAAGCTCTTCCCACAACACGGGGCGCTGCGCTTGCATCAAGTCCTGCCTCTTTGGGAAGCCTACATGCATAGGGGAGCCTAGAGGCTAATCACACAGGTCCAAACCAGGCTCTGCCCTTTTCAAGCTGTGTGGCCTTGGGCAAGTTCCTTTGCCTCTCTGAGCCTTGGTTTCCTCACATGTGAAGTGGGGATAAAAATACTGTTACTGTGAGGAACAAAGGAGGGTCCATAGCGGACTGGTAAGAAGCACTGGAGAGGCACCACGGTCATGACTGGGTCCAGTCCCGGCCTCCAAACTGGGTGACCCTGTGACTACTGCATCAAAAAACAAACTCCCGAGGGCAGCTAGTGCAGCCTCAGGTCCACGTGCAGACTGATGTCAGGTGGCGCTGCCCTGGGGAGGATGGTCTCCAGCCTCCTGCCCTCACCTCTCTCCATCCAGCCACCTCCTTCCCCCTTTCTCCCTGAGGCCAGCTCTTCCAGGGGACATTCACTGGGGACATTCATGGCCTCTGCCCCCAAAGTCAACCAAAGGGAGACCAGTTCCCTGCTTTCTAGGACATTTTTCAAGCTTTCCTGACCATGATCTAATGTAAAACAATACGTTTTAATAACAACCCAGTACACACACACACACACACACACACACACTCACACCTGCTTAAAAGTTTGATAGAACACCATTTCTACATGCAAGGCATTCTAATATTTCCATTTTATTCTTTTTAAAATGATGACTGTGATGCTCACAGCCTACCAACCTGAAACTGAAAAAAGCACAACTATCCTAGAAGATTTGGACTTTAAACAAAAATTGACTAAATTAAGGGAAGCATATCCAAAGAGACTGAGAAAGAAATTAGAAATACTGGATAAAGATGGGTACACCTGACTCTTAAAAAATGTTTTCCTTCCCAGGTTTCAGCACCAAAACAAAACAAAACAAAACAAAAAAACAAAAAAAAACAAATAAAATGTTTTCCTGCCCATATTTCCTTATGTATTCCCCAGCCCCCGCCTGCTCTCCCCGCCCCCCACTTCCTGCCTGGCCTGGCCGCACCTTCCGGAAGGACAGCTCCACGTCCAGATCCCCCTTGAAATTATACTGAGCGATGGCTTCTCCATACTCCAGCACTTGGTAGGTTGGGGGCTTGAGGGGCTTGGGGATCTCATCTGCAGGCAGCATCTGCCGGAAGAAAGGTCATGAGAAAGGTTTAGCCTGGGCATCAACTGAGCACAGACCTGGGGCTCCTGGGAGGGGGAGGCAACAAAGAGAAGGTAGTGTGGGCAAGATATGTCTCCAGGCCAGAGAGGAGACAGACATCAGACACAAGCCTGGGGTGGTCAGGGGCAAGCACAGCCAAGGGGGTGGTGAGTCCCAGAAGAACCCTGGAAGAAGAATTTCCACTAGAGATACGTGGAGTGGGCATTAGTGGAGTGAGCAGTGGCAGTGCAAAGATGGAAGCCAGTGTAAAAAGAGAGTTGAACCTGGAGGGCAGAAGGAAATGAGGAGTCCCAAGGAGCAGGGAACACCTGGTGCCCTATTCTAAAAGAGAGGATCTAATATTTTACCATTGCTGACAACTGAGTGTCCCTCCTCCTCCTCCCCTTCTCCCCCACCAGGCACCCAGAATCCCCATGTTCTCTTCACTTCACTCTATTCATAAAAATCAAAAAGCTACTAAACTATTTTATACTAAGATGTAAATAACTCATGCCTGTCAAATCAAGAGCCTAAATTAAACAACAACCCAACCCATGAGCCAAAGTCACAAAGGAAGTGAGAAAATAGTTTGAGTTGAATTAAAAAAAAAAAACCCAAAAACACAAAATATCAAAAACTGTGGAATGTAGTTAAAGCAGTGCTTAGAGGAAAATTTATAGCATTAATTGCTTATATTAGGGAAAAATGTTTCAGATCAATAACCTAAATTACCACCCTAACAAACTAGAAAAAGAAGAGCAAACTGGACCTAATGCAAGCAGAAGAAAGGAAATAATAAAGAAACAGAAATCAATGATATCAAAAACAAAAATACAGAAAAATCAATGAAATAAAAGTTGGTTCTTTGAAAAGATCAATAAAATTAACACATCTCTAGCCAGAATAAGAGAAGACACAAATTCCCAATATCAAAAATGATAGAAAGGACATCACTACAGATCCTACTGACATTAAAAGGATAATAAGAAAATATTACGAACAACTTTTCAGCTAATAAATTAGGTAACTTGAAATTCCTTAAAAGACACCAATACCAAAGAGAACGTAAAGCCCAATATCAAATTCAAAGCCTGTCTCTGGGTTCAGAGTCTGGATCCTCTACTTAACAACTTATCTCTGAACCTTAGTAAGCCCGTCTGTAACATGGGGCTGTTCTATCACTTTCCCAGGTTAATGAGAGGAACGAGGGAGGTAATACAATTGACTCTTGAACACAGGTTTGAACTGTGGGCGTCTAGTTGTACGTGGATTTTAAAAATAAATACATTGGAATTTTTGGAGATTTGTAACAATTTGAAAAAATTTGCGGGTGAACCACATAGCTTAGAAATATTGACAAAATTAAGACAAGGGTTATGTCATGAATAAAATACATGTACGTCTTTTCTTTTCCTTATGAGTTTCTTAAGGAACATTTTCTTTCTCTAGCTTACTTTAAGAAGCCAGTATATAATACACAGAACACAAAATACGTGTGATTATCAGCTGTTTACGTCATTGGTAAGGCTTCGGTTTACAGTAGGCTATTAGTAGGTACGGTTTGGGGAAGTCAATGTTACACGTGGATTTTCAACTACACGGGCATTGGCATCCCTAGCCTCTGTGTTGTTCAAGGGTCAACTGTACACACGAAGGCGATGATGCATGTATACAAAATTTGTAAACGTCACATGCTTTGTACTCTTGCCAGTGGCAATTAGGATTCATCCCAAAGACAGCTTGTGAGAGACAGATTCTATGTGGTGAGAGTCCGGGACAATGACAGAGCTGGTGGCCCCTGGTTCTCCCCTGGGCTGGGCTCCACCTACAGCCCTCATTTAACAAACATTTCCTGAGTACGGGCAAAGGGCTGGGCCAGCTCCTGTTGGGCCCAAGGATGTGACTGAGGCTGAGACATGGCCCCTGCCCTGGAGCTCACAGTTTCACATCTTAGGAAACCGCTGAGATGTGGCAGCCAGCTCAGGAGAGAAGCTATGGATGAATAAGGGCTCTGCACACCCACCAGCCCTCCCGGGCTCCTGCTCACCTCCACGTAATTAGCAGGGAAGATGCCCAGCCTGCCATGGTGTTCCCCCTCCAGCCAGTTCTTGTCCACCTCCTTGTGGATATAGACAATGTCACCCTTCTTCAGAGTCAGCTCCCTGCAGGCCAGAGCAAGGACCTCAGTCCTCCTGGGTCCTTCTTCCCTTCAGACCCTGTTCAGCAAACCCAGAGTCCCCCCCACCCTCTAGGGGTGCCCACTGCAGTCCTCCCTCCACTCTTCCCGAGTGCAGAGCCGGCCCCAGGGGGGCAGGGCACGGGAGAGAAGGGCACTTACTTCGGGGACTGTGCCTGGAAGTCAAACTTGAGCCTGGCAGCCTTCCTCTATGCAGGGGGAGAAGACAGAAGGGGTTACCCCAGCCACGCAGTCACCAGGACCTACCCAGCCCCTTCCTGCACCCTGGCCCTAATGCTCCCACCCCCTTACCTTCTTCTCTTCCTTCCTGGCAGGGCTGATCCCTCGTTCAGAGGCACTAGGGTCTGTGAAGAAGCACGAGGGGCGCTTGGGAAGGCCACTCTGGGGGTGGGGGACGGGGCTGGGATGGAGTTGGCTCCCCCTACCGGCGCCAGTGGGAATCACCGGGCTCTAGGATCTTTCTGCCACCCCCCGGGGCACCAGCATATCTGGTGCCTAGTAGCAGGCGTCCGGTAAGAAACAGGGCAGGATCTGGCCCTTACCTCGGGTTGAGGAAGGGTAGACAAAGTCCCTACGACCTAAGAAGGGGCTTCCTCCATCCGCCATTCTGTGTGGGCTCAGGGGCCGCGAGGAACCCCGGTAAGGTGCATTCGGGGAGCTGGGGCTCCAGGCGGAGGCCGGGCTGCGGAGACACAGTGGGTGAGCCACCTGTCTGGCTTCACACCCTACCCGGCTCACCATCTCCCTCCAATTACAGCCGCCTCGTCCCCGGCCGTCCCCCAGGTCCTGGGCTCGCCACAGGACGTCCTACTTCCGAGCTGCGGGCCGGGAAAGGGCGCGGCCGGGCCAGGGAGGAGGAGTGCGCTGGGGGGCGCCGGCCGCGGCCACTTGATTCTCGGCCGAGGAGCTTCCCTCTGGGGACCGGGGAGGGCCCCCAGCGCCAAGCGGTGCCCTGCGCCCTGCGGGCCACTTGCCCCCCTCCGCGGGGCTCCCCACCCCGCGCCACGTCCACTCCCCGCGCCACGTCCACTCCCCGCGCCACGTCCCCGGCCGCCACCCCACCGCCCTCCGCGCGCGCCTGACGCTCACCGCGCGGGGAGCCGCAGCTCCCGGGACCGTCGGGGCGCCTGGGATCCCTGTGGGGGAGACGGCGGTCAGGGCCGGGACCCGGGTCCCGCGGCAGCCGAGGCCGCCGCCTCCGGAAAAGTTGGCGGCTCTGAAGGAGGGAGGGCGGGT